TCAATAGGCTCACCACCACGCGCACGATTTCTTAAAAGAGTGTCATGGTTAAGGAAGTATTTTCTTTGCATGAGGTTTTGAAGTGCAAATGTCATCCTGAAGTTTGTTCGGTGCAAATCATTGCCCTGTCCTTCTCACGATCTAAACCTCGCTAGTTTCTGAACTGCACGCCCGCGAAGATGCGCAGACTTTTTCGGAGAGACTATATCTTGATCATCCAGGCATCCATGACGCCATAACAGGGTCATTCAAATCTTCCCATTCCGTTAGAAACGCGACGATTAAGGCTAGAAAAATATTATTATCGAGTCGTTCATATCTGTCGCTGGTCAGCACGATTTCCAAATATTACGCCGGTCAATTAAATGGCTCTCAAGCAACGTTGTGCACGGTACGATGACGTTATCAACAAATAAAAAATCGAGAAGCACATTTAATAAACAGAGAGCTCACGCTTTTTACACCTTTATTATCCATTTAAAAGTATATTAATAGTTACAAGCATGATAATTTCATCATATCTGATGCTGCCTTCAATAGCTTTAAGGGAGGAGCATTCCCTTGAAGTAAATTCGCGCCTGACACGCCACCCTCATGTCATGATCAGTTAAACAGTTTTTTAGAACAGACTGTATGTTTTGCTTGTTATACGCATCTTTGTTTTTTGTTTGTTTTGACACATAACAGCTCACTACAGAATGAGGGACAACGTGCTAGTGATAGTACTTCCACGGTGGTATGAAATGCACACGACGATACTATCAACAAGCGATTATTTTTAACGGCGTCGTGCATAAATTATTCCACGCTTCGACCAGGCGCACTGATCGTTGAAGGCCCTATCAAGAGGTCATACGAATAAAAAGGTGTCTTCAGCTGAGCGCCACCTGAAGGAGCCAGGGTAGTGTCCCTAAGGTGCTACGAAACACGCATGGTCGCACCGTATGCACAGTATTATACATGTCCTTAAAAGCCCCCGCATCTTAGTCAGTCGACGAACCAGCGGGCAGGATTTCTCCGTAATGCCCTTCCAAGGACATACCAATACAATGATTTGATACCAAGCACGATGATATGGTACCATTTCATAGTGTTTTTTTTTTTGTAACTGTGCTATATGATTGCATATGACAGCTACACTATAGTGCACTACAGACACGTTCTTATACTGACATGACTGTTCCATGGGGCTGCGTCCCCCCGGGCTGCACGGAAGACAAGAATAAGCCGTCTGGTGTTCATGATTTGAGCACGAAAACAAACCGCACGCCACCAAGGCCGTGTAATAAGGTATGATCATTCGGTGGTTTTTCCGGCACTTTCCCTTTACTATTACAGTGACGTCACAAAATCGCAGCCTGGCATCAGCGCTCCGCCTGCATTATCTCCGCGTTTGTTACACCGATGCACCTACTAACAACTGCATCTGGTGATCGCCACAGAGCGCTTCGAGAAGTACTATGAGGAAATATGAAAGGGGCATTTTTGGCCACGCTGGGTGTATAACAGCGAAGATAGGCCTAGGAATTGGGAGCCTGTGTGCCATGGCACTCCCACTTGTTGAGGATGCCAAATATTGTGTCTATGGCGATGTATTGAAGTTGGCCAGCCTACAGCTGCGTAAATGCAGGCTGGCGAGGCTGCCCAAGGTCCAGCCACTGCCACTGACCGGCACCAGGATCATCAATCAAACTGTCGCGCTGAACCTCAACACTATACATCATGAAGCGCGGGGTTGCACTGGTGTGTGATGGAGGCAGTTTGACACGACGGAGGTGGTGTGCTGCCTGGTAGAACATAGGACATTGTGTACGTTGCACATTGCATCAACTATGACACGAAGCCTCCGAAAGTCGTGGCGCGTGGCGTTAATCAAGAAAATATCCGTCACGCCACGCAGCCAGTTCATCGAACACACGCATGACTCATAATTCACCGTATTTTACTCGAACGATTCTTGCGCCCAGCATACACTTCATTGTGCACACTTGGCGAAGATGTAAAGCAAACAGGGAGGGGGGCGGCGGAGAACACAAGTATAGATTTTTCAGCTTAAATCTAGAGATATGCGACGGATCAAAGAATGCATAATGATGCTCACTTAAGGTCACTTACATATGCTCACATAAGCACAACGATGTTCACTTAACGCTGTCTACCTGATGTTGGACCTGTTTGGCTGCGCGCCATCCGCTTGTCCAGCGCAGAGTTTTCTCAGCAGGAGCTTTGTGAGGCGGTCGACAGACGATACCAATGTCTTGGTCCATGCCTCGGCCCATCACTAGCTGGAAGACGATCTCGAAAGCCTCGACAACGCTCGCCCAGGCCGGCAACGGTAGCATCACACCGCCTTGGCTAATCGCGTGTATCCAGCTGTCAGGTACACGGCTGGTGCTTCTCGGGTCGACAGCCCCATACTTGGATGGAGGTATTTGCACCTGACCGCCACGAGGCCGGCAACGAGGGTCAGCGCCCTGTGCTCGATGTTGACCTCGTCCATCCCGTCGCCGCGGCGGAGGCCATTTTCGGTCCTCTCGCCGTCACCGCCATAGAGCTTGTCTTCGCCCGATTCGTTGACCTCGTTGTCCTTGCCGAATTCGTTCAGGGCGGGCACTGGACGCCTCGCGGCTGTTTGCTGGTAGGCGGCCTCCACGTCGTCCGCATGCCCTGCCATGTCCACGACAGCTGGAGCTTAGATCTGCGACACAACGAATCGCAATCATTTCCACGTACCTAACAGGCGCATTAATCAGACCCTATTCCAAGTCACCAGTGTTGCGACAATCTCATTGCGACAACAAAACGTGTTGGACCCGGACATGCCCTCTCTTTCGTTTTCGTATGTTTTTTTTTAATATGCAACATTTTTTGTGGTCCAGCGTAACATAATCCGAGCGGGTAAGAGAGACGGCCAATGGCCGACGAGTACTCCACTGCGTGCACCATTCTAACATCCACCGCTCCCGGTCATAACCACGGATTTGTCTGGATGGCCCCGTTTCATAGTCCCATTTCAGTGCATCGGCTGCCCCAGGGGGGGGGGGGCGCCGCCATTGATGTTTTCCGACGCAAAAATCACGAGAACAGCGCATCCCCCGAGCTTCCCCCCCCCCCCCCCCGCCGCCAATCGTCTCCGCTTGTGAGGTTGAAGATCTATAGTTTACGCACAGCAGTAGTTTTTTTACCCCGATATTACTGTATGTAATCCCGAACTTTGGTGACCAGGTAAATAGCTTTTGTTTGAAATCTCAGACACTAGCATGGACAGCGACACGATGAGTACAAAAGTGGTTCATTAGTAACGAGACTCGCATATAGGCGGGCGAGCATGTACGTCACGCAGCTGAAAGAACTGTTTAAGGCACCAGAGCAGACCAATATTGGTAGCTCATTGATGCGCTAGGTACTGTATTTATTAGCGGTTGTGGGATTTGCTAGTCAGTTCACAGTGCATAAATTGGCGTCAATGGGGCTGGGACTCGCTCGTGCAAACTTGCCCTCCCTTCCCCCCCCCCCCTCTGTCGCAAACCCTGGCTACGCCCCTGTATGTAATCCCGAACTTTGGTGACCAGGTAAATAGCTTTTGTTTGAAATTTGTAAATAGCTTTTATTTGTAAATAGCTCAGACGCTAGCATGGACCGCGACACGAAGAGTCCAAAAGTGGTTCATTAGTAACAAGACTCGCATATAGGCGGGCGAACATGTACGTGAAGCAGCTGAAAGAACTGTTTAAGGGAGACCAATATTGGTAGCTCATTGATGCGCTAGGTACTGTGCCCATTAGCGGTTGTAGGGTTTGCTAGTCAGTTCACAGTGCATAAATTGGCGTCAATGGGGCTGGGACTCGCTCGTGCAAACTTGCCCTCCCCCCTGTCGCAAACCCTGGCTACGCCCCTGACACTCACTCCCTTCGCCCGCATAGCATAAATGGCTGTGCAACTTGTGTGGTAGTCGGGCCCCACTTTGCAAACAAGATTATGGTTGGAAATTCTCGTTTGAATCTCGTATTGTAGTCTACAAACCGCACAAAGCGGCTTAGATTGTTCATGCATTGGACTGCGAATCGGGTCGAAACATTTCTGCATAAAACAGACCATAATTTTCTTTTTAAGCACACGCATACCCACGTCGGCGCGCCAGCGATGTCCAGTTGCTTAGAAGGAGCTGCACTTGGTCGAAGGCATGGTTTAACATTGGGTGTGGGACTGGTCCTAACCAGATGGCCAGGATCAGTCATGATCTCGAAAATGATCAAATCAGATTACCGCATTCTCCACATTTATAGTTCAAGAGCAACAGTGTACTCATGTTTTCAGGGCAGTTGGATCGTTTTTTTATGTAAAAAAACAAAGTACCTTCATTGTGCCGTTTAACACTTTTGCAAGAGGCCGCCTCGGAGGAGCAAATGGGCATGTTGCTGCCAAAAGAACGCCTTTGATGCTCACTCTTGCACAACGCTCGCACACCACTTGGAATATCTCCCACACGCGACATAATAGCGCGCACCGAGGCCACATAACAATACAAACTTGACGCCATGCTGCACGACAATAGACAAGACCGATCACAGCATTCCTGCGTGACTACTGTTTTCCAAGCGACGCAGTCGACGTTGCAATGCAACGCCGCCGCTCAAGCCAGTGCGACTTTGTGACGTACACGCCTAACGTTGGGGAGCCGCCCGCCCGACCAACTTCTCAAGCTGTGATGATGGCCCCCTGTTATGGACGCCACAAAGCTTGTATAACTAAAGCTGAACGTGCGAATAATCTGCGGCCACTGCCAACCTATCTTTCTTAATATGTACAATCACCCTCTATCGGAAGAAAAGGCCCGTAATCGCCCTCCCGGATTCGCCGAACTCCTCTTGACTCCAAAAATACCAGGATTTCTCGTGCTGCGGCGACAGTGGCTCCGCCCGTGGCAGAACGCCTCGGAGATGACTGATCGCGCTTAAGTTGGATATAAGAGGTGAACCCGGTGAGCGGACCGCATCAGACCCACCATGAAGTGGTTCAGCTCCACCTTCCTGCTCGCTCTGCTGGCGACGCTGCTGGCGGTCGCCACGGCAGCTCGTGAGTACCACTGCACTGCGGCCGTGCGAGGCTGCCGCCGCAGAGACTTGTTTGAACTCCACCTCAAAGAGACACCGTTCCGGTTCCGTTTGCAGCACTCTATTGAAGACTGCTCGGGAAAAGAATCGAGTGTTTAAGATACTGTTAGCAGGGCATAGGCATAAAATCGAAAGGCCTTGAAATCCACTGTCACACCCAAAGGCTGCTCAATTTTATCAGAGTGGCCAGAGTTGTCGAATCATGCATATATATTTGAATACGGTCTTCGGATTCGTGCTGTGCAGTCATTGTCAGATTTGTCTTCAAATATTTTGATTACTGGACGTAAGTGCCGTGGCATTAAGGGCAGTAATCACGGTGTTGGATGAGTGTCTTGGTGCATACAAGGTGATCCTTCACTTTGGTATCACCTGTGCGATAAGTTGAACAAACAGGCCTGGACAATGCTAGCGTTAGTAGCATTCGCAATCTGTGACATGATAATGCCAGCCAAGGACAGCTTCTGATCCTTAACATCACTCTCTTGTCAACAGCTGGAGGAGGAGGAGGCGGTGGCGGTGGTGGTGGCCGACATGGAGGCGGTGGCGGCGGCGGCGGCGGCGGTGGTGGAAGCTGCCACTGGTGGTGGTGTAGGGGGAAGTAGCATCACCACTGTTCTCCGAAATATACCGATCTGATCTGAACGGACTGACGGACCAAACTGAACACTTAACCACTGCAGGATGATGAAGACGACCGCGGCGTGTAGCTTAGATCTACTGATTAATTGGCAACGTTGGCGATGCATCCATTCGGTCATTAGCAAGTTGGATGTGCCTCGCAATACACATAAAACTTTTTTGTGCTTCCGATGCGTTTCTTTGCTCTGCCCTGTAGCTACATGCCAAGTGAACGGTTGATACCATCCAATGACTGTTTGTCAAGCATCTGCTCTCGTATTGAGCGTCGGATAGATTGTATTCGTCTTTCGACTTACTGGAACGGCTCGGCACAAACGGCAAGTTGTTACATACGAGCACAAATATATATGTGCAAGAGGTTCCGTGATGTAGCAGAACTTTAGCACGATTAAAGAAAGTAATAGACCATGTCTAACACTCGCGTAGATTTTACTCTTGTTCATAACGTGGACTCGTTGGAAATGGTGTCGATGGTATCCTGTTTTTTTCCAAATCCAGAATAATAGAGCTTCGTTGAAATGAACTATTGATGAACTTGTCTCAACGTGATCCCGCGACTTGTTTCAATTAGTATGTCGCTAAGTCAATAATTGATGCCACCAGGCAATTTCAAAGGTACACTTTTACCAGAATCGGTTAGTTCGGAGCACCATGACTCGTAGTTTGTTCGTGCTATACTGGCATATTTTGGTGTAGGGCTCCGTAAATGTAGCAGCATTACTGTCACAATCTTTTGACTCGTATTCCGCTCTGGGCCCATTGCGATGCGAGCTCGCGAGTCCGGCGCCGTCTCCGCACTCCGCCTCAGCCTCCACCTTCGAACAACCTGCAGAGTATTTTAGGGACAATTAGACAGTATCCTAGTGCCAAAACACGCACATGCAATGCCTAAAAGGCTACCGCGATTTTGGTGTGATTCCACGACGTACTGGAGAGATCTTCTCATAAGGTATTAAGGAGAGGGGGGGGGGGGGCATATCCATGCTGAATTCAGTGGTGAAAATTTCGTGCAGATCGGTCTGTTAGCCTTGGAGTTCGAGATGCCGAGCAAACAGGAAAACAACGCTGAGATCATTTGGTGAGCCGCGACACATGTCATGCCTGACGTGCATTCCAAGACAGCGAGATCATCAGCCATGCTGAAGACAATATTGCAAGTCTCGTGATAGTCAATTGCATCGCTAGATTGTCAGGAAGTACGGTTTTTTGTCAAATTATTTCATAACCTGGAAGCCTATGCCAGGCTGCGATACTGAAAATGACTCACAAATCATACACGCCGAAGTTAATGGCACCGCTTACGTAAGCGCCAAAGCTCGAACCTTGCATCATCGTTTTGGAGCATAATTTGCCAGAATGTTCCAAACATTTTGGAAGATGGATGGGCATAGATACAGGGGGGGGGGGGGGGAAGGTGTAAGACATTGCCCAAACATTGCGTCAATGCTTCGAGAAGGACAACCCAATGCTGCCGCATGCGCGTCTTTAAGGAATGGTTTGCTCCATTCGCGTTATTTTGAGAAATTATTAACACAAGAAAAGAAGCTGGGAGGCAGCTGCGTGAGCGGTGGGAACAAAACAGTTGACACTCGCCCGGGTGGCCGGTTGGATACCCTTCGCTTGGTGGAGGTAAGGGGTCAATTTGACCACCTACCCCCTGACATCTTAGGAACTAAGAGAGCTAGAGACGCTAAATTCACAGGGTCTGCTGACCTGTGCGTGAACTGTCTTCGTTCAAGACTAAGAACTTCTCAATCATGACCTTCGAGTCAAATAAGGTTAAACAAGTTCAACTTCCAGGTTGGTCTCCAAAGAACCCCTAAACCCTAGATAACTGTTCTAATCAAGAGGTCACGTGCTCATCTAAGGTCAGTGACCTTGTTTGACCTTTTAGAGGTCATAGTGACCACAGTTATACAAGACTGCTTTGAGTTTTGCATTTGGATAAGCGACAAAGATTACGCTAGGCAGGATGTTACTAAAAACAAAACGTTGACTTGAGTCATTCTAGGTCAGTGACTAATCCTGACCTTAAAGAAATCTAGGGAACGTGCGTAATGCGGTTCCTGTTGTCAATAAATTTGAAATGAGCACCAGAAACTACCCAATACAGCAAGCCCCAGAGTAGTAACATATGTTGGTTTTGACCTTGGTCTGACATTCATATCAAACCTTAGGTCAATGTCATTTGTTGATTCAAGTGTTGTGTGGCATATATTTCAGGACAATATTTCAGAGATGTATGGCTTCGTCTAACACTCCGTTGCTGGATCACATTGAGCGACTTCTTAGAAATTGCCCAAGCTGAAACCATGGCCTGACTTTCACCTGCCATAGGTCAATGTCAGGCGATTTGCTATTCAGCTGTCTACAGTTACGCAAAATTTGTCGCGGCAACGCCGCGCCGTTGGGAAACCATTCCGAAAAAAACCTTGCGGGAGGGGGTCAATTTGACACCCCACCCGACCGCGTGTTAAGAATGAATGCATACAACTTGCATGAAGTTACAAATCACATCACTCAAAGTTAAACCAGCACGCGGCCTAGTCGCTGAGGAGGAAGCTTCCACTTTAGTTCAGCTTTCAGCCTTGCCTTCCATAGGCATTGACAGTTGTTAGTTTTGATATTGTTGTTACACAGTTGGCATCAGTATACAAAAAGCATTCGCAAGATGATACGTGCGTACATAGGATGCTGTCTAGAGATTTCACTGCTGAGTAGTTCCGTTAGCTGTCTCGTGATTTGGCTCAATCTGTATCTGCCCAACAGGCTCGATATTAATGTTGTGCTTCAGGTTTTCAGGTTTAATCAGACCGTATTACAAGTCGTCAGTGCTGTTTCTTTTTGCGACAGCAAAACGTGTTGGACCCGGGCATGCCCTTTTTTGGGTTATCTCGCGCTTGTTTTCATACACAAATGCTTTTTGGTGGTCCAGCGTGACATAATCCGAGTGGGTAAGAGGGACGGTCAATGGCCGACGAGTGCTGCACTGCATGCATCATTCTCATATCTACCGCCCCTGGCCATAGCCACGGCTTTGTCTGGATGGCCCCGCTTCATGGTCCCATTTCAGTGCATCGGTTGCCCCAGGGGGGTGGCGCCGCCATTACTGTTCTCCGACGCAAAAATACACGAGAACAGCGAGGCCCTCCCAGCCCTCCCCCCTCCATTCGCCTCTGCACGTGAGGTTCAAGGTCTAAGGTTTAGGCATATCAGCATTTTTTACCATGATATTACTGTATGTAATCCCGAACTTTGGTGCCCAGGCAAATACCTTTTGTTTGAAATATCAAACACTAGCATGGACAGTGACATGCAGAGTCCAAAAGTGGCTCATTGGCAATAGGGCTCGCATATAGGCGGACGAACATGCACGGCACGCAGCTGAAAGAAATGTTCAAGGCACCAGGGCAAACAAATACTGGTAGCTCATTGATGCGCTAGGTACTGTATTTACTAGCGGTTGGGGTGTCTATTAGTCAGTTCACAGTGCATAGATGTGTTGTCAATGGGGCTGGGACTCGCTCGTGCAAATTTACCCTCCCCCGTCGCTAACCCTGGCTCCACCCCTGACACGCACTCCCTTCGCCAGTGTGGCATAGATGGCTGTACCACTTGTATGGTAGTCAGGTCCCACTTTGTAAACAAGATTATGGTTGGAAAATGTCGTTTGAATCTCATATTGTAGTCTGCAAACTGCCCAGATGGGCATAGATTGCGCATGCGTTAAACTGTAAATCGGGTTGAAAGATCTCTGCATAAAACAGACGGTAATTTTCCTTCTCAAGCACAGACATACTCACTTCGGCGTGCCGGCGATGTCCAGTTGCATGGAAGGAACTGCACTTGGTCGAAGGCATTTAACATTGGGTTTGGGACTGGTCTTAACCAGAGGGCCAGGATCAGTCATGATCCTGAAAATGGCTAGATCAGATTATCGCATTCTCCACATTTACAGCTAGTCCACGAGCAACGGTGCGCTCATGTTTTCATGACAGTTGGATCGTTATTTAGAAATGTAAAAAACTTGAGTGCCCTCATTGCGCCGTTTAACATCTTTGCAAGAGGCTACCTCACAGGATGGCATCTTGCTGCCAAAAAACCGCCTTGATGCTCACTCTTGCCCATGCTCTCACACCACTTCGAATTTCTCCGACCTGCGACATAATAGCACGCACCGAGGTCACATAACAAAACAAACTTGGTGCCACGCCGCACGATAATAGACAAGACCGACCACAGCATTTCTGCGTGCCTGCTGTTTTCCAAACGACGCAGTCGACGTTGCGGCGCAGTCGACGTCGCAGTCGACGATGGTCAGCGCCCTGTGCTCGATGTTGACCTCGTCCATCCCGTCACCGCGGCGGAGGCCATTTTCGGTCCTCTCGCCGTCACCGCCATAGAGCTTGTCTTCGCCCGACTCGTTGACCCCGTCGTCCTCGCCAAATTCGTTCAGGGCGGGCACTGGACGCCTCGCGGCTGTTTGCTGGTAGGCGGCCTCCACGTCGTCCGCATGCCCTACCATGTCCACGACAGCTGGAGCTTAGATCTGCGACACAACGAAACGCAGTCATTTGCACGTACCTAACAGGCGCAATAATCAGACCCTATTACAAGTCACCAGTGTTATTTCTCAACAACAAAACGTGTTGCACCCGGAAATGCCCTCTCTTTCGTTGTCGCATACCGCTTCTGGCCATAACCACGGATTTGTTTGGATGGCCCCGTTTCATAGTCCCATCTCAGTGCATCGGCTGCCCGGGGGGGGGGGGGGGGGGGGAAGGGGCACGGGGCGCCTCCATTACTGTTTTCCGATGCAAAAATCACGAGAACAGCGCAGCCTCCGACCCCCCCCCCCCCCCCGTCTCCATTCGTCTCTGCTCGTGAGGTTGAAGATCTATAATTTAGGCATAGCAGTAGTTGTTTACCCCGATATTACTGTATGTAATCCCGAACTTTGGTGACCAGGTAAATAGCTTTTGTTTGAAATTTGTAAATAGCTTTTATTTGTAAATAGCTCAGACGCTAGCATGGACCGCGACACGAAGAGTCCAAAAGTGGTTCATTAGTAACAAGACTCGCATATAGGCGGGCGAACATGTACGTGAAGCAGCTGAAAGAACTGTTTAAGGCAGACCAATATTGGTAGCTCATTGATGCGCTAGGTACTGTGCCCATTAGCGGTTGTAGGGTTTGCTGGTCAGTTCACAGTGCATAAATTGGCGTCAATGGGGCTGGGACTCGCTCGTGCAAACTTGCCCTCCCCCCTGTCGCAAACCCTGGCTACGCCCCTGACACTCACTCCCTTCGCCCGCATAGCATAAATGGCTGTGCAACTTGTGTGGTAGTCGGGCCCCACTTTGCAAACAAGATTATGGTTGGAAAGTCTCGTTTGAATCTCGTATTGTAGTCTACAAACCGCACAAAGCGGCTTAGATTGTTCATGCATTGGACTGCGAATCGGGTCGAAACATTTCTGCATAAAACAGACCATAATTTTCTTTTTAAGCACACGCATAC